AGCATGAATCTGAAAAGCCTCCCCATGTTTAGTCCTGACTCTGGGCACTAACAGGAGTCCAGTCCCTGTGCTTCTGAGAGTCCCAGCAGGAGTCCAGTCCCTGTGCTCCTCAGAGTCCGGGCTGGTTCGTATGGTACTAACATGTCACTAATATATTTTGGAGCGAGGCCATGGAGAGACTTGTAACAAGCAGAGCTCACATGCCGGTTTGTTTACAACAGCGGCCGCCTGGCGCGGGCCTACGTCGCAGGATAAGACGCACTACGTTGACAGAAATGTTTAAATTGAATATTACTTATGCACAATTTTACAGCATTTAAAAACGTTAAGAACGTTTTTCCTTCTACAGAAGGAAAAAGACGCATGCGCCTCCGGAGCCGCAGGTTTCCGACTCCTAGTTTATACAGTATGTGGAAGCAAATACTGTAGAGGATCAGGATATGTACAGTTTCAACAATAAAATAAAATGCAATAGTCTACATCACAAGAGAGTAATAAACATGTCTCAGAGTGAGGGAGGTGGACACAGACAACACTATTGTTTGTTACAGGGATGAGAATTGGTCAAAAAAGACTGAAATGCATATTGTCAGCCATTAGCTGGCTCTAAATCTGTTTAATTTGTTCACAACATATTACTTTTGGGCTCAAACATGAACTTTTAATGCAATGCAAAATTTAGGTATCAGAGCTTTATTTAGGGCGTTTAATCGCGCTTCGAGAGGAGAGGGGAGACGCGGACTGTTTCCTGCAGCAGTGTATTTATTGGGTGCACAGATTACTCAAAGACACGCATGGTCCTGTGCGCGTTTATGGGGTTGGGTACATGGCCACGATGAGGCTGTGCGCTCAGCCGCAACACGGTGGAGCGGCTGCGAGCGGCTGGACGCTCACAGCCTCTCGCAGCCGCTGGACGCGGAAGCTGCTCATTACAAAGCGGCCGCAGATGCCCCGGAACACTACGGCCGCTGAGGTGGCGGAATCCCGTTCGAGTGCATACAGCAGGTGCCCCGCGGATACGGGCGCCCCGCTCGAACAATTCTCAACGGATTTACACTTCTCATAAACATGTGTTTTGTATGAGGCAGAGACAGACCGGCCCAAATATGGGCATCGGCCCTTTGGGCATTGCCCGGTACGCCCGATGGCCAGTCCAGCCCTGTACATGTTCGCTGGCATCCTTGAGCTTGGACTACAAATTCGAAGTGATGCACAGTAGAGGAGGGCTGGGCCGAAGTGTTTTGTTAGACGCCCATGCCCTTATATGGCAGTCTCGCTGCAAATACTGTGACGTAATAATTCCAAACACGTAATAGAGAATGGCAAAATCAGAACGGGTTGAAAAATCTTAACCAAACAGAATATGAAGTGTTCTCTGCAACCCATGAAGAGACTGATTTCAACTTTTTTGCACTTCTAGAGGCTCCAACTACACAACATAATGCATTTAAGACACAAAAAGTGGATTTTTCATGATATGTCCCCTTTAAGGTTAAAATAAACTACCTTGTCCCCCTCTAAAGGTCTAATACATACTGTAAGCTCTGTGTGAGAGAACAGGAGTCACATTTCTCTCCTGATGAAGTGGTTCTGAAAGACCTCCTCTTGGGTCCCATCGCCGGAGCCTTTGCTTTTGGTTTGCGTGTAACAGGTCTGCAGAGGAGCATCAGTCAAATGCAGTAAATGACTTTCACCTGGCCTCAGATTTACTGCTATCTCAATACGCTCCTGTGGAATGCCCTGGGACTCGTTCGGACTAATAAAAACTCCACACGGATTACGGCTTATTTACATGGCACGCAGCCTGAGTAACGATCCGGCTCGTTGGAGAAATAAGCGGCGGTATGTTGACAGAATGCACGGACGGAGCTGAAAAAATGGGTTAAAAGCTGAGATTGTGACTGAGGCTTACAGACGAGTGTCCTCCTCTGGCTTCGCTCCTGCTTCGTGTGTGAAAGTGATGGATGTGTGTGTGTCACTTTTAGCAACACAACACATCAGTTATTTTTGTTACATACATTGTACACGCACACTTCAGTCTTAGGAATGAGTTGTGTCCCCAGACGGTGTGAAGTCTGCGTATGACACACGCCAGTGATGTGAGTCTGTTTCCCAGAAGTCTGCTCTGTCTTTACTGCTGTGTCTGGAATGTTCCACACTGCTGCATTCAAGTCGGTGTTTGTGTTAATGTGAGGCCGTAACCTGATGTTAGCATGAACAATGTGACCCATGTTATTATTCTAGTTGTTTTTTCTCATCATTGTGGCCATAGCTGCTAGATCCTGTCAGCTGTCTGAAGCGATGCAGGGCATGGTCTGGTTAGTGCTGTGATGGGAGACCTCTGGGATCACCAGGTGCCACAGTGGGGCGGCTGCGGCTGCAAAGAGTCACATTTCACTTCACCCACATTTCACCCAATCAAATCTTTTTTTGTAAAGCACATTTAAAACATTTAATAAGCTTAGGCAAACCAAAGTGCTGTACAGACAGTGAGAAAAAAACCACCACATAAAAATACAGTAATATATATACACATAAAACCAAAAGCTTGTCTCTTTCTACCTGGTATTAAAAGCCAAAGAGAAAAGCTGCGTCTTTAGCAGGGATTTAAAGTGCTCAAGCAATTGTGCAAAGGTAAAGAGTTCCACAACTGTGGCCCTCCATCCATCCATCCATTTTCTTCCCCTTAATCCATTTCTGGGTCGGGGGGCAGTCAGAGCTGCACCCAGTACACAGAGCACCAGCCTCTCACTGATCCTCCTGCAGGTGCTGAGTCCACAGGAGATTCAGGCAAAGTAGGGTTAAGTGTCTTGCCCAAGACAGCAGTCATCAGTAGGAGTGGTGAAGTAGGTCTCGTGGTGGGCTCAAGCCTGTGGAATCTTCAAGCCCAAAGACCAATGCTCTACCAACTGAGCTACTGTTGCCCTATAACAGAAAAAGCTCTGTTTCCTTTAGTCTTCGGACTGGTCCTCGGGACAACAAGAAGGTGCTGATCTGCAGACACAGTGCTCTGGAGGGAAGGTGGGGCTGGAGGAGTTCATATAAATATACCATTCTATTAAAACTTTGAAAAACAATAATAAGAAATCTAAAAATGCCGGAAGCCAGTGCAGGGATCGCAGAGGAGGTATGTGTGGGTAGTGGTGTGGGTGTGTGTGGGTGTGAGTGTGTGCAAGCGTTACCTTAGCAGTGGGAAAAAATAATAATGTAAACAATGATCACTACTAAAACAAATGATAAAAGGTCTGTAGTTTGTGATAAATGGGTTAATCATGTTTGACTTGTAATTGCAAAAACACTTGGTAATACTTTATGAGCCCTTGTGTACACTGTAGTCTGAGTATTGTGAGCGCTCTGTCCCCTGACCCTCAGCGACGTCCACCACAGTGATTAGAGTGTTGTGAAAACACATGAGGCAATGGGACTGGCCCCAGAGGACAGGGACCAGTGAGCAGGGACCAGGGCCGACGGACCAGTGATGGAGCAAAGGAAGGGACGCTACAACAATTCCACCACAGGATAATGGTGACTCAGTTGTGTTTAAAAGTAGCAATATTTTTAAGATAAGATTTTCATGTAAAGTCATCATTAAATGGCCCTAATCTGTCTGAAGGCTTTAATAAACATTCTCTTTTCCAATACGTCTTTAACTGATAACAGTAGTTCAGAGATATATGAATTTCAAAATTAGTTTTACAACCCCTAAATCTTTTTATTGTTTTCATTTTGATGTCCCGCCCTCCACCGTTTCACCAATCAGGAAGTCTGTGATCCAGGTTGCCAGAACTCACTGCATCGAGCTAATCTCAAATAAGAAAGGAATAAAACGAAGATTTCTATCGGGGCCTTTGTGAAAAAGGTGTTGGTTATAGATTTGTTGTTGATAAAATTCTTGTCTATTCAGCTGTTATGGTCAGAGAGGCTCGCTATGGAACGCACTTTTTTTTTTTCATCATGAGGAGCTTCTCATTATCAGACCTACCTCCCCATGCCCCCGGTTTTCTTAGCGCCTGCAGTTGCTTTAGTTGTCTGCCGTGTGTATTTAGTGTGCACTTGTATATATACACACTGCAAAAAATGATCAGTACACTCTGTCTTAAAACAAGATTTGCCAACGGGACAAAGCCATTTAGTCTTATTTCAAGAACTCATTCCAAGGAGGATATTTCTGGTATATTTTCAAAAAAAGATCCTTTTGCTTTGTCCCATTGGCATCTCTTGTTTTAAGACTGTCAAAATGTGCTCAAATTAAGATAGATTTTGCCAAATGTAATCACTTTTTGTAGTGTAGTAGTGCTTTAAGGAATGTTAGGAAGATATTTTTTTTTCCTTCTATGTTTACTTGTTTGCACCTGGAGCCAAAGCAAATCCTGAGTTTTTGACTTTCCTGTTACTTACAATGGCGATATAAATAGTTCTGAAACATACTGCCAGTGTAGTTAGTGCTAGTTGTATACAATAATAAAATTAATATTAGGTACTGGGCCAATAAGAGGTATTGATGAGGCTGCTCTTAACATAACCCGCCCAAACCCGACCCATAATCCTAACCCAAACATAGAATAAGGTCTTTGGAAATGGAAAAATGCAGAGGCCTTTCTGTGCTTTCTGTGTTTAACTCCTTAAAGTAATGTGGGAACATAGATCCTAAACCTGCCATGAGCTGCTGCCATTGATCCAGTCCACCTTAAGAGTCTATGTTTATGTGGAGCTCATTTGAAATCTTAATAATGAAGTATTATAATAATATTTAAAAATAGGATGTTTCCTTTGTTTTTTCCTAAGATGATAGTTATAATGCATGTCAGTTACTTTAGAATATATAGATCATTTTAATCCAGTTAAATTCTTGATTCTTTAATGAGGTCTGTCCCCATAGCTCAGACTCCGCTCCTCCACTTCACTGACCAGAAGGAAGGGCTTCATGGTCCAGGTCACTCTTTAAAAATACATCACATTGAACGGATGTGACGTTTTTGTGATGAATACAGTGTTTTTGTTCATGTTTGAGCGAGACGATACAACAGCACTGAAGATACTGCATGTTCCCTGGTGTCTACCCCTCTGGTGTCTGTGCCTCTGGTGTCTGTGCTTCTGGTGCCCCTCTGGTGTCTGTGCCTCTGGTGTCTGTGCCTCTGGTGTCTGCCCTTCTGGTGTCTGTGCCTCTGGTGTCTGTGCTTCTGGTGCCCCTCTGGTGTCTGTGCCTCTGGTGTCTGTGCCTCTGGTGTCTGCCCCTCTGGTGTCTGTGCCTCTGGTGTCTGTGCTTCTGGTGCCCCTATGGTCTCAGTCCCTCTGGTGTCTGTGCCTCTGGTGTCAGTCCTGGTGTGTGTTTGCTGAGGTGAGAGCGCAGAGTGCAGCCGGGCCCTGATCCTTCAGGATAGACACAGATTTGAGGATTTGGACGTTAGCTTCAGGACTCTGTCAATCACACACGGTGCATGGAGGAGGCTTCTCCACGAGATAAAGCTGCAGTGAAGCGTGAGCAGAGGGTCTGTGAACTCTTCTCTCACAGACCCTGAAATCTGAATGTCCAGCCTCTGTCTTTACAACACTGCATCAGTGTTCACTGTGTTTGGACACAGGGATTATTCATTTACTCTGTGCACAGTGCTTTTCAATTAAAATACAGCCACAGCTGCCCTGATGCTTTACCATCACTAAAATGTGGTCTTGCCTAGGGACACAACACAAGCTACATTTTATATATAATCTTATAAATACAGATGTATTTGTCAATTAAAAAAGAAAAATGAACAATGGACTAAATGGACGGAGGTAATATTTGACTTCCAGGGCATGAAGAAGAGTAAATCATTTCACTTCAGTGTTCATTTTGACATCTTGTACTGGTGGATTTTATCACTATTATTGGCACTGATGATATGCAGCTTTATTTGTGCGGCAAGTCACCTAAATGAAAAATATCATTCCAAAACATTATCAAAAATACATGACACAAACAACAGAAGTAAGGCAGTAATAATAATGCATTGGTTATATACAGTATAGCGCTTCTGTATTCTCTACACAGTGGTGAAAAACTACTATTGTTCAGACAGCTTCAGACGTCTGACATAATCTGGTTTTCACATGCAGGAATGGCCACAACAAGGTGCAAGATACATGACAGAGGAGCTAATGTTTCATGATGTAGAAAGGTCCTCTGACGTCCACAGAGTCTGACGTCCACAGAGTCTGACGTCCACAGAGTCTGACGTCCACAGAGTCTGACGTCCACAGAGTCTGACGTCCACAAAGTCTAACATCCACAGTCTGACGTCCAGAGTCTGACGTCCACAGAGTCTGACGTCCACAGAGTCTGACGTCCACAGAGTCTGACGTCCACAGAGTCTGACGTCCACAGAGTCTGACGTCCACAGTCTGACGTCCACAGAGTCTAACGTCCAGAGAGTCTGACGTCCACAGAGTCTAACGTCCACAGAGTCTAACATCCACAGTCTGACGTCCACAGAGTCTGATGTCCACAGAGTCTGACGTCCACAGAGTCTGACGTCCACAGAGTCTAACGTCCACAGAGTCTAAAATCCACAGAGTCTGACGTCCACAGAGTCTAACGTCCACAGAGTCTAACGTCCACAGAGTCTGACGTCCACAGAGTCTGACGTCCACAGAGTCTAACGTCCACAGAGTCTGACGTCCACAGAGTCTGACGTCCACAGAGTCTGACGTCCACAGAGTCTAACGTCCACAGAGTCTGACGTCCACAGTCTGACGTCCACAGAGTCTGACGTCCACAGTCTGACGTCCACAGAGTCTGACGTCCACAGAGTCTGACGTCCACAGAGTCTAACGTCCACAGAGTCTAACGGTGAGTTTGGTGTAGCAGCTGCTGAGAGCCTCTTCAGCAGTAGCTCTTATCTGCCCCCGCGCTCCATCCCGCCGTGACCTGGGACTATTACTCCTGTTTACGGACATGGATGGGCTGTTTATTGCTTCCCGTGGGGCGCGAGGTTAACCCCCGGCTCACACAGGGTCCCGGGGCAGTTCCCAGGCCGCGCTGAGGGATGTCTCCAATAAGAGCACTTTGACAAACGCTTGAGCAGATAAGCAGATCACAGAGCATCCAAACCTGCGGATTATGGACCTGTCCTGGGGGAGGGCAAGTGGGGCAGTGACAAGAGGGTGTTTTTCAAGGACACGTTGGGATCCATGTTCTTGTTTGTAAACTATAGCTGGGGTCTCCAACCTCTTACAATCAAAGAGCTACTTTTATACGACAAAAGAAGAGAGATACTCTTTTTATCAGTTGCAATACTAATTGTCATACGTACGACAAAACATGGAAAAAACACCATAATACTGTAATGACTTAAAATGTATGAATTCAAGATTATGTGTTAAATTCTAAATCCTTTGTGGAGCTACCTGAAAGGTCAATTTGCTTTTTGTTTAGGAAGTGCAATTTTTCTGACTTATGTAAGTTTTTGGTTTTTATAACGTTGTGACTTTTTCTGTTTCTATAGACAGTATAGATTCATGTCATTATGTTTATGAAATTATCTTGATACTTGACTGGTACTTAGTTACCTTATACTATTTACCAGTTTATAAAGTATTATACCAAAAATTTATGTTCACCAATTTTAGAATGTACTAAAGATAAAAACTATGAATTTTAATTTTTTTCCAGAATTGAATCAAAATGAATACCTAGTCCTAGTGTTAAGCAGACACATGCAAGCAACATGGCACAAGGACATGCAGCGGCCCTGGTGTTTCTATGCGGAGTTATGTTACCACCAGCAACTCGGTGGGTTTCCTCCAGCTGCTCCGGTTTCCTCAACTGCCGCAAACATGCAGCAGAGGTAAAAAACCACCAGTGAAAGTTCTGAAGAAGAGCATCAACATCTGGATATTTGAGTTGAGACCAGTGACAAGTTGAAGTTTTTATCTAGTTATCAACTCATCAATAACATCTATGGATAGATGTTATTGATGAGTTGATGAGGCTGGAGGCATATTTTCACAACAAAGTGTCCCTCATTGTCAGTCCTGGTTTAGTCCTGGTTTAGCTCCTGTTTTGGCTTTTTATGAGTGTCTTGTGTCCCCGTGACGGCTCCGTGCAGCTCTCTGATAGCCGCACGTGCTTCCCGAATAAATAGTTCGTCTCTTGCTTTTGTCGCATGCATCGGGTCGCTTTGCCCACTGCCTCTACTGCTATTCCTCACACGAACGTGCATAACTATTGACATGGCATTGAAACACAATCTATAGATCCATGGACGCTACGCACGGTGCAATCCTAGACTGTTGCGATTGTTTTTTGCATTTCCCAGAATGTTTTGCGGTTCATGCTCGGCTGTGATAGGTCGAGAAGCCTCTGCCTACGTCTCCCAGAAAGCTGCGCGGTCATGACTCGGCTTTACTTCTTGTGTTTTCTTCCTGTTTTTTCTAACTATCGAACATTGTGTCGACCCCACTTTCTATGGATGACATACACGTTTCAATCGCAATATATATCGTTATCGTTTTATCGCCCAGCCCTAGTCAAATGCAGAGGACAAAGCTCACTAGGGGGATGAATAAAGTGCACATTTACATTTTACATTTACACATTATGCGTTTCTTTCTCCGTGTATTCATACTACATCAGGTTGCACTTCTTTCCCTCCCCCTTGTTCTTCTCTCCTCAGCTCCTGGTGGAACTGGCTGCTTGTCTGAGCTCTGAGCTGGATCTGCAGAGTCAACAGTGCAGCCTTTCTTCTGCTAAACCCAGGGCCTTACGCCTGTGTGCGAGGGACTCTTTCTCCTGTGTTGCAGCGCACTCTTTCTCCATGCATTATCCCATCTACATTGGGCTATACGCGTTATTATTTAAACAAAAAATATTATAACTATATGACAACATGGTCCTTTCAACATAAAATCATGTCCTGTCTGATGTGATTTCATACAATTCTTGGGAAAAGGCAAGTTTATTTGTATAGCACAGTTCCTACACAAGGCAACTCAAAGTGCTGAACAAAACAAGATTGTCAGAGAAGAAGTCTGTCTCACATTTTATATAGTTACAGTACGAGACGGGAGCCCGTTGACTTCTGTGTGTGTGTGTGTGTGTGACGCTCTGGGCCCTGGGGCGTGGGGTCTCCAAAACATTATATAAAAACATTAGCAAACCAATGGCAAAACACGGCTTTGAGAAAACCCTACGGCAAATATCAAACATTCTGATAATGGTGCTGACAGCAGCTTGTAACATGTGTTCTCACTCACTGGAAAAAATCCTTTAAAATAATAATAGAAAAAATATATATGAAAATAAGTAAAATACTGCTTAAAATGAAAAAAATTAAATAAAATCTGCCGATAGAACATAAGCATTAGACTTGACAAGATTTCTGAAAATAAGGGGGTAATAATACTAGGCCCAAATGACTTGATTCTAGTATAAAAACATACATTTCAAATATTATTTACTTTTACTTTCTCAAACAAATATTTTGTAACATACTTATTCCAAAAAACAAGAAAAGTTGTCTGAAAAGAAGTATTATTATCTTAACTAGTAAACTAATTTAAAGGCAAAAAAAATGCTTGTCGTTTTGTGCAAAGGCCTTATGCATTTAGAAAACAAATAATCATACAAAATGTTGAAAAGTTTGTGTGTGACTGTTCACCTGTTGCCATTCGTTCCCTCCCGATACATCTCTGGCTCCACTCTCTGGCCACCCATGCTCCCGAGCCTCACCTGCTCAGCGCTCTTCCAGGTTTCGTGAGTAAATAGAGGCGAAGCGAGCTCATGACGCTGCCAAATCTTTACTGGCATTACTAAAACGTGTGGTTCTGATTAGGCCTAAACCCCCAGTTAAGATCAGAAGTGGACTGTTTGACCCTTGCCCGACGTTTAAAGCCGCGTGTAACCCCGAGTCTGCGACATTATCAGGGATTCCCTCCATCTTGGACTGATTTTCTGCACTTTGAAGGCCAGATAGCGATAGGCAGAGAGGAGGTGGGAGTGCAGCGGAGCGCCCACACACAGAGACCTGAGTGTATGTGGGGACATGGATGGGAGGGGCCCTATCTGCATCTCTGCTGTCCCCAAGAAGACAGCCTACAATGTGTGTGTGTGTATGTATGTGTGCGTGTGCCTGTGTGAGATGCCTTCCACCTGGAGAGGACAACACACACACTGAATGGTTTGTTAAATTAAAAAAGTAGAAATATTGTTGAGGATAAAAAAAATTTTATTCAGTAGACTGAATTTATCGGTCTGATCTTAGTGGCTGTAGTTTCCTCAGTTGAATCCCCTCCGACCAATCAGCGAGCGGGAGGCAGGTGTTGTAGGTAGGGGTCGGTGACATCAAGAGTTTACACTGAATTAGCTGGTTGTAGTTGGCAATGGCGGCAAATGCGATAGTAAAGTAATCTGTTCTGGTTTGGCTCCAAATATCAAGAAATTGAAGCCGGAGCAAGAGGAATGTTTAGCACATGGTCAGTGCTGCAAAGATGTCGTGGCGCTACTCCCCACGGGCTCCGTTAGTGGCTAAGGAGATGGCTAATGCTAGGCTAAATGCTAAAGGCCTCACTCACTCGGGCGCATTAAATACGTCACAGTAAAGTCAGATCCAATCGTTTAAATCTGCAAAAGAAGTTAATCTAGACCTTAGTACAAAATGAAATGCGTACGATGGTATGGTAAGACCAGGCTAGACTAAATTCTAACAACCATCACATTTTTGTCAGAAGCCATTCATTGTCAAAATGTGAGTTTCATGCAAGGCGGCCTTGGAATTCACAGAACGGTTGAACTTGGGACCAGGGACGTGCGGTGAGGTTTGTGATTGGGGAGGCACTGACTTTAAAAGTCAGATTTACAATCATTATTCAAATAAAATAGCATTTAATCACCAATGCAATGACATCCACAAACTTTATATACTGTAAAGATAAGAGAACCAGCTTCTTTTAATAATCTCACAACAAATCTAGCTGCTGACTCTGCTCCGCATCAAACAACATCTTTAAGAAGCGCAGGTGCGAGAGACGCGAGGAGAGAGAGACGCGAGGAGAGAGGAGCAGAGAGAGACAGAGAGGAGCAGAGAGACGGAGACGCGAGGAGCAGAGAGAGATGGAGACGCGAGGAGAGAGAGACGCGAGGAGAGAGAGACGCGAGGAGAGAGGAGCAGAGAGAGACAGAGAGGAGCAGAGAGACGGAGACGCGAGGAGCAGAGAGAGATGGAGACGCGAGGAGAGAGAGACGCGAGGAGAGAGGAGCAGAGAGAGACAGAGAGGAGCAGAGAGACGGAGACGCGAGGAGCAGAGAGAGACGGAGACGCGAGGAGAGAGAGACGCGAGGAGAGAGAGACGCGAGGAACATAAACAATAATTTAAACAAGTTGCAGAACTCTTGAGCAGTGTTTGAATCAGTGTTTTTCGGAAAAGCACTACTTTGCCGGTATCTGTCAATGTTCAACATAAAACACAGATTAACAAACTCCTCCCCCGCAGCCGGACTGACCTCGTAAGTCCAGTGGTGGTCTCCCAGTCTATATTAATTCTTTCTTTGTTTGAAAGTCCAATTGAGAAAAAAAATCTTCATTCAAATCATCCATTTTCCAGCAAAAGAAATAGCATTTTGGGCTGATTGTTTGTTAGCAACTCTGGTATGAACTTTATGCTCACTATCACCCCTAGCGGTGAGGCACAGATACCGCCTGCCTCACGCCAAGCTTTTTCCTTGTGTGTTCATCTACGATCAAAAGACTTAAACTAAATATAAATTGTACACACATACGTGCAATACACTACTAAACACTAAGAGGAGTTTAAAAAATGTTTTTAAAGCAGGATATTTGAAACAAACGGTGATATATCAACTGCACGAGCTGAGTGCACTCAGACACACACACACACACTGTGAGGGAGCGGTCTGGGGTGAGGCACGCAGGAGCGCTGCCTCACCTCGTCTCTTTGAATAGGAATAACGGGATTTCGGCGATTTTGACTTCAGAAATGATCAAAACTGATGGGAACCGTGCCGAATATACATTAAAAGCATAGGACAGTGGATATAAATTATATATTTAAACTAAAATAATTATTAGTTTCCAATAATGGCAGGTGAGGCTCTGCCTCCCCTGACTGCACGTCCCTGCTTGGGACATTGTAAAGTGCTTTGGGTGACCATGGTCTGTAAGAATGTGCTACATAAATAAACATTACTTACAGAAACTGGAAGATTTTTGCCCAAAATAATGGACAGCTTTACCATCAAAGAGGATAAAGAACCTCATCCACAACAACCACAAGCCAGTAATAATCCAAGCTATTTTGATGTTAAAGGGCAATACACTGCGAACGGGGGATGGAGACTTCAGCTCATGGTCAGAGGAGTTTATCGCCTCATTGTCGTATAAAGATTTGAAATGTGTTTATTTAACAGTAAATGGCTTCCAACACCCTCTAACAATGAATGGAGGAAGACGGTCTGCTGTGTTTACTTTGGATTACCATGTTTTAGAATGTGAGATCATTTGGGATGGTATTAGATGTGAATGTAAAATGAAACAAGAGGATCAGTAAAACTCATCTAGTGGTAGGAAAATTGGATTGCGGCAACTGCGAGAAAAATATCTAAGAATGTACCACTTCAGCCCTTTCATTTTCGATAGTGATCTCAATACTTCGGCGTGAAAAATCTGCTGATGTGAGTCGATAAAGTGGGACTGAACAGAGTATTTTCTCCTCAAAGAACATCCAAGCTATATCCAACCTAAACAGTTCATTATCCAGCAGTAACTACAGAACAACTTTAAATGAGAAGACTTTAGAACTCTGATCATCTGGGTTATTTCCTCAGTAAATGGTCTTAAAGGTCCCATATAACTCTATTTGACCTTTCTCTGCTTTAAACATGATTACAGCGCTATTTGGCTTCAAACACATGTCCAAAGTAGTTTTTTATTGATTAGAGAGCTATCTTTCTCTTTCATTCTCAAGAGGCAGCAAAATGTCTCGGCTCAATCCGTGACGTGAAAAGCCCGCCTCCAGGAGGTGATTGACAGCAGGAAGAAGGCGAATCAGCGAATCAGTGCATGCAGCCTCCTTCTGAGTCCAGAGTCTGGTCCAACTACTGTAAATATTAGTATTGTCCTGTATGGTTCACTGTCCGTAGAATGTGTTGTGTTGTGTTAGCATCATGTGACTTGGAGAAAATGTGTTTGTGGTGTGAATATTTGACGAAAGTATTTTGACTGAGGCAAAGACTGAGGCAAATGTGGCTGGACTTTTTATTTTCACGGGATCTGCTTCCGAAATCTGGGACGGATTTTTTTCTGCCAGTGACACTTCACCAAAGACTGTTCCAGAACTACAGCTACCTCCAGACTGGACTTACTCAAAAGCCGATCTTGAAACATGTTTTTATTCCCGCAACAGAAGACGCTAACGAGGAGCATAGATCTGAAAGTAACTGCAACTAATTCGCCGTATGCCACTGTTGACAAAAAAATTAGGGGCTGATTCTGGATCAAGGACATGGCTCTGTACAAGACGGATTGCCATTGGTTGGAAAAGGGGTATTCTCAGGTCTCAGGACTAAGGCCTGGACTCCACCGGGCGCGTCTCCGTTGACGCGCGTTGGCTGCTGTCCGTCAGACGTCCGTAAAACGGACTAGTGGTCAAACCGGCTGCAGCAGCAGCTCTGGCTGTCCGCTTATCAGCCTGCTTTGTTTTTGTAGGAGACACGTTTGGGCATTGTGTGAATGAATGAATATTTGGCTGATGGAGAAGTGTGTGTGCGTGTGTGTGTGCGCGCGCGTGCCCGCAGCGTTTATTATGATCCAGCCTCTTCGTTTGTTTTCTATACTTATTTAGCGCGTCATACACTTTTATCGGACCCAACTCCCCTCTCCGCGACTTTAGGCAACAGGCAGCCGCTATAGTTTTAAATAGAAGAAGCGGTGTGTGATTTGTATGAGCTGTGGCTATGATCAATGCAAAGCACAGCATATTGAAGCATTGAGGACGTCGCGATGGATGAGGCAAAACCTTAAGTCTTTCTTTGCAATCCCTCATTTGTCATTTGTCAAAACAAATTATTGTAGTTTCTGTGCCTGACCACAACAAAGAGTAGTTTGAAGTCTGAACACTTCTGGTGTGACTAACTCTGTGACTGTTTCTGTTTCTATATGTAGTTTAACTTTATGTCTTTATTGTTATGAAATCATCTTCTATGTTTGAAAATGTGAGTAGTTCTTTAACAATAACTCCCAGAGCATTTTAATGTAAAATATGGCATAAGTTCTAGTATTCTCAGAATTCTTGTGAAGTAAAGGTTTTTCCAGCTCTGACACCGCATCAGCTGCTCCTGAGTGTGAAGCATTTGACGGAGAAGCGACATAGAAGCTTGTGTAACAGTGTAAAGACCGACAATTGAAAGTGTGTTTCTTTTGTGTGCTCCTTTTCCAGTCGTGGAGAAGTCTTCCACATGGTACACATAACGTCTGAGAGCTGACAGGCTGCAGGCAGAGCTACCGTATGTGTTCATAGTTTGTGTCAGTCAGTATTTCTTGTGTGTGTGTGTGTGTGTTCATAGTTTGTGTCAGTCAGTATTTCTTGTGTGTGTGTGTTCATAGTTTGAGAGAGAGTTGTGAGCGAGAACTTCTGATGGACGCTCACACACAGACACCGCTCTGTTTTCTTTTAATAAGGGCTTAGTGCAGCTGGAGCTCC